CCAGGGGGAGGGTATAGCTCAAGTGGTAGAGTGCATGCTTAGCATGCACGAGGTCTTGGGTTCGATCTCCAGTATCTCCTCCAAACAGAAATAAATAAACATGATTACCTCCCCCTCATAAAACAAAAAAGAAAGCAAATTCCAGACCTTTTGAAGAAAACGCAGCTGGAGCTCACTGGATGGCAGAGAAGTCACTGTAGTGCTGTTAGAGTGGAACTTGCTAGAAATCCACCCTCTAGCACCCTCTCCAGTGCTGGAAAAAGATGTTCACAGGGAGCCATCTCACTGAAGGCACTCTTCTACAAAACCACCTAAAATGATCCTGGGGGAAGACGCCACCCTCTGGATGCTGCTTGTCACTGCACTGCAGGAACCGTTACAGGGGCACTGCATGGGCTGGTCTCCCGAGAAGCCTCCCGTGCTGCAGGGTCCTGCCAAGAGGGCACACAGAGACCCAGAAGCAAAGCCCTTTCCTCCTGTACTCTTCACTGACAAAGTTTAACATTGTGCCAACTGACAAAGGGAAATAGTTGAAGGACCCGTATCTATTTTCATAGAACAAGCAAAAGGTGAATTTTGAGCTGAGTCAGTAAATCGATCCACCCCTTTGGATGCTCAGCTTCTATATGCAACCTCTACACACATTTGAAACACGTATAGAAAAAAAGAAAGAAAGAAACATGTATAGAAACAAAATAGCTTTATATTTCTACCTTTTTCAAGATGCAGCTATCTTTCCTATAAGAGAAGAATGTCTCACACTTTCCTCAAAATGAGGAGATTCCCAGTTGCAATAGTACATCACCCATTACATTAATAACTTTTCAAATTCAGTCTCTCTGAAAATCCTGTTACCTGCAGACTAAATTGTTAAGTTAATTTCCAATAACTTGCATAGAAAATAAAAATGAGGAGAGAAGAAAATGTTTAATATATATATATCAAGCAAACAGAAAATATAGTAAAAGTACTACTTTTATTGGTAAAATTGGTCACAAGGCTGTAATTTATAGCTATGGTTTCCTTCATTCTTACTCCGTATTTCTCTTGCCTTCAGCCAAAACCTTGCCTGGTCTGTGTTCTTTGCCTGGTTGAGTAACCCAAACCTTTATACCAGAAAGATCTGAGTTTTCAATTGTTCTGTTTTAGTTTTGGTGGCTGAAGTTTCCCATTAAGCTTTACCACTGAACATGAAATTACTAAGAGGCGTCCTTTGCTTCCATTGTGTAAAAGTAACTCAGTATCGTCTCGTTAATCAGCATCAATCACTCCGGCCAACAGATTTTTCCTTTCATGTTGGTTCAATGTTTACAGAGGCCAAAATGTCCAGGAGTTAATCTCATTGTCCATGGACTGGAGCCTTTTTTTTTTTTTTTACCTCTGGTGAAAGAATTCTTCACTTGGGGACTAAGATCTCCAGATCAACACAGCATAAAGTTGCCAGGATGGGAATGGGTAATTATGTGAAATAGGGACAGGGGCCACTCCCACATCTGCCTTTTGATTCC